ATGCGAAAAATGCGAAGCTCCCAGATGTACCACTAAGTTTTCAGGCTATTTCCATCCGAACGTTAGCATAGACAACCTCCCGTGTTAAAGGGAAGCTATATAGTTTCCAAAACGGAGTAAAGAGAGACTATTTTAAAGTTATTTTATGCCTAAATGGTTCAGGAAAGAGATAACAATATTTCAAACCGGTATTTTAAACTATTTCCATGCGAAACATGGGAGGCTCCCAGAGTAGCTAGGTTGCCACTCTAGCCCACTGTTACGTAACCACCACCTCGTACCTCCAGCCTACTATTACGTAACCACCACCCCGCCCACTATTACGTAACCACCACCCCGTACATCACCCACATGCTGATTTTGTTATCTTTTAATCTCCACTAAGCCATAAACATGGTATTTATTAACATAAACCCACCAATGCATGTTGACCTAGTAGCTATTAACAGCAGGTATACCACCACTAATCCATAAACATGGTATTTATTAACAAAAAACCCATCGAGGCATTTTGATCTAGTAGCTATTAACAGTAGGTTTACCACGTAAGCGTCATTCTCCAAACACATATGGTGATTATGTACTTACATCCAGGGTCATGATTCCCAGTCTCCCACAGTTTAACAGTGGACGCGGGTAATGTAATTGCCTGCGACCTTTCCCTCCCTCACATCTTGTCAGTAGGACTAAGTTTAACTCAGTGAAAAATTATAGGGTCGTATTCTATGCAACCACACAACGTAAAAGGTAAATTGCATAAAACCACATCTAAACAACCTATTTAAATCAATACCGGTCTATGTACTCCCTCTACCCAGTCTCCCACAGTTTAAAGGGGCACTGATCTAACGCAATTCCCCGGGACTGGTTGTTGCCTTTGTTATTGTTTTTTCCCAGTGAGTACCCGGATGTATAGCAGAAATCTAGACTAGTTCGCGACCTCTGCTGCGCCATTCGTAAGCGCATTAGTCACTTTTATGGGTAGTAGTAATAAGGGCGTATGGTCACATTGATCAACAAAATGAAATACAGTTTTCGAGATAATAAGGAGATGTAGGTATCTTTGTGAGTAGCATCGGTAATGGTGACGAAGTTTTGATAAGTCACTTGCTTGGTAATTTTGCGATTTTCGTTTACACTATTTTGACTTGCAACACAAAGTATATATTTCACCTGAGCATATGCTTTATTTATAGTGTGTATATTTTTTTACTGTCAAATGTGTAACAAATTTATTAAACGTCTAAATATTCAGTTATTTTACAAAGTGACTGAAAAACATTTCCATCTGTATTATTATGACAACGAATTCCAAACATTTTGATGTTTAATGTCATCACCAAGAGACTGAAAATGTAACGTTGAAAAGTACATTTCTAAGTTGTTTGGCTTTTAATCCTACATAATAATCTGTTGTGATGTTTGTAGGCCCTTTTGATCGTCTTGATCAATCTGGACAGATTTTTTAGTCAAAATTTACTGAAATATTTACACATTTTATAAATTGCCTGAGAGAATCACATTTTACAAATTGACGGTAATATATACACGCTTACAAAGGAAAAGACCTGTGACAACAACGTCTATCGCGCATTGAAGAATTTCCCAACCAAGACGTAGAGAAACAAGAACGAATCAGTTCAAATGAAGGAATACAAAATGCAGATATCATAATTAGAACCTACCAAATTTATGTGTATAAGTTTTAGGCAGCTTCCTTGTTCGAGGAATGTATCCGTGAATATCCACACAAAGGAACAATATCCCACCCGTCAGCAGCTGTACAAAGAAACTTATTCGATGTCACGTGTCTCAGTAACAATCAAATATTTTAAAAGATATATATCGTTTCGGGATATTATACCCGTGTTCGTTTCTCAACTGATCGCTTGGATTGTTTCAGGTGTTTTACACAGGTGTCAAGTCTCAATGGTCGGCTGAGAAAGCCCACGTGACAACTATTTTCATAGCGTCCACGGTTCCTAAAAATGCCATTGAGTGATAGATAACAATGATCAATCAATCAACGTATTATCAGTTAACCCTTTGAACAAAGTATGTTGTTTTTACTTCGGCACTTCGCGCCATGATTGGGTATTCCCTTTGTTTTAGTAAACCTAGACATGTAAACACTCACTCTTGACATATCCACTGTGCAAGATAACAGTGATTAATCAATCAACGTATTTTCTGTTAATCCTTTGATGACTAGGAACGATCCGTTGATTTACAAAAAAAGTAAATCAACTGATCATTCATCTCTTGCTGGGCTGCCACGTGCATATTACATAACACACATTTCACCTCACTTCAAACCTGGATTTAGATTGAATAATTACCCCAGACACAATAAATGCCAAATGGGAACCTTTGTCAGGTAATATAAGTGGTGCTACCACTAATTGTACCTGTAATAAATTAATTAACTGAGCATCAAGTGAATGACGACAAATACACAAGTGTAGGGTTATACGAGAAAACGTGGATGACAACAAGGGAGTAGTAATCGTATTATCGACGCAAGCCGAAATCCGAAAATGCTTTCACTGCATGGATACTGTTTTTAGTATTAAACTATAACCATCTGGGGTATTTCCAAATGACGACATCCGATGAGCTCCCTTGTTCTTTTTGTCTGTTTGTTTAGGCTGAAGAAATTAATTAACATGCGCCCTTTGTCGAAATCTTTATAGATCACAGTTAACCAATCAGTGTTCAAAAATGCGTAAAACAAATATTGCCTCCAGCCTCCAAGTTTATTTAGCTGTCCTTGCAGACGGTACCCCAGTCTCTGGTCACGCTCAGTTGCGTTGCGTATCATCCGGGTACTCACGGGGAAAAAACAATAACAAAGGCAACAACCAGTCCGTTAGATCAGTGCCCCTTTAACAGTGGATGCGGCTAATTTAATTACCTGCTACCTTTCACTCCCTCCCACCTGGTGGTTTAACTGGAGAAATAGCAGTGCCACTTCAAACATACCAACAAATCACACCTCCCTTCGCCTATCCATGTCATTTAACCGTGCAAAACATGTTACTAAGTAAATGGTAAATCCAGCAACATTACGGCAATGTGTTACAAAAGCAAATATAAAAACCACAGCACATTACCTCCAGAAGGTATAAAAAAGGTTTTGCTTACACGTTTTGTTTTTCTTCCTGCAACGTGTTTTGCATCAACATGTACACGTGCGCAGATAGCATGCCAGCAGGTACGGATTTCAATACCTCTATGACCTCCTACCAAACAAGGTTCAGGTCTTTTAAGGGATGGCCAATACAGCTTCAGCAGAAGCCTCATCAATTAGCTACTGCAGGGTTCTACTATAGTGGTATATCTGACAAAGTCATCTGCTTTGCGTGCCACATTAAACTTAAGGATTGGGCACGCGGCGACGAGCCCTTAAACGAGCATACCCAGTGGTCTCCAAACTGTAAGTTTCTTGAAATGACTGGGCATGGGAGCACCCTATTCAGTTCACAGCCTCAACACAAAACTGCGCATGACACTGTGCTGTGAATATTCCTATATAAGCCACTACCATACCGCAAACGTGCGCAGCTATACAGCCATCAAACAACTACTGTTTCTGTATTACGCTTTCCAGTCAACAGTGCAAATATATCCAATGCAGGGTGTCAACATTGCACTTCCCGAAGAGGCGCTGCAGCCCATGGTCACTCTGCCGGATGGTAGAAAGGTCGTAAACACTCCCAAGGGTGTAATACAACGCAGACCGTGTGTGTATTTATTGGTACTTACGTTAACCATCGCTGTTAGCACCCTATGTGGCGTTCTCCCTACTCTACAGCACCTACATTCAACGCCCGAAACTCTCCCTAACACAGGTACCGCCAAATCTTTCACAGTTAATGTTACTGGCAGCACGTGCATGACGGACCAAATCATGCTGTCAACTTCCAAGAGGGTTACAGTGTGCATCAAGGAAGCCTCCCCAATTGTTGACATTAGACAATTTCTCAATAACAGAGCCACAGTTGTGGGTATAGCAATCTCACAGCAGGAATGGCAGCAGCTACTCTCAGCAGTTTCCCGCATCAAAGCGCTTATCCACATTGTCCAACATGTGTAATGACCTAGTTACGGACTCATAGGGTGCATGCACGTGTGAGCGTGCGCACAATACGCATATACACATGCACCCAATGTACGCGCTATGCATGTATTCTGCATTAATGTGTAAACCCTATTTTAATAAAGCAAGTATGGTAATTTACTGTTTACTGTCGTGTTGTCCTTTGAAGGTTTATAGTACCAATATAATTAGCGCTAACCATTTACACATGTAGCAATATTCAAAGGTTCTTATTATTAAATTATATTCTTTATTTGCGCCATTGCACAACCTTTCACATAGCTACATAAAATGCGCTCACCAGCCAATCTTATTACAGGTGTAAATGGTTACAAACGCACATTACTGAGCAAGCAGGCAAATGCTGCAAATAATGACACAAAACCAGGGAATCTAATCTAATGTTTATTCAACCACCAGTAATATATAAAACGGTCATTAGCTTGTGTGTTCCCAATATCGAATCTGTTCACAATGCTTTGTAAACCATAACCTCTGCAGCGATTATATATGAAATACAGGCAGTAGGCCCCGCACAAAGCACTGAAATTGTCCTGCAGCTGGCGGTAATTCCTTCTATGAGATTTGTACCCATAAAGTTCCTTAAACCGCCTAAACTCTGGAAAACGTTGTGAAATATCCTGCCCAGAAGGTTCGAAGCACTCTACAACACCCTTCCTGGGAACGTAATAGGCAACCCAGTGGGTACCCGGTTGTGCGCTAACATCTGTGTTTACTATGTACGCTACTGGCCCCCGTTTTCGTGATAAGCGCTGCCTGTGTACTCTCAATAACCAGTCTCTCGGAATGGTACCCCCGTAAATACTGGACATATGCCGGTTATTTAGAGCAAAGTTATTCAGTTCTCTGGTTGTCAGCATGGACATGGTTCTTATATTTATTAACTAATGCTAACGTTCCTGAAAGCATCAACCTCTATTACACAGCTCCCTTCTTGGTAGCATACCAGTGTCACAGGGTTCTGCAACGGCTGTGAAAAATGTATTTCAATTCCCACCTTGCCGCTCTCTATAGGGTAGGTGTGGCCTTCGTCAGCTCCGAGATCATCACTAAAATCTATGACGTACAGAGTGTAACCGTTCATAAACTGTTTCCTATTTATAGGGGGCCCACCATTTCGCCAAAGCCCACCAGTATTTCGAAATAAGTCCATGTACACTTCGTTCACTTTCGAAGAATCTGCATCATAATTCACTTCCAAACTTTTCTTGTGCACCTCATGCCCATTCACCGTCACCTTCACCGAAGTCACGTGCTTATGTTTAAAGTCAAATGGGTTCAGGCTCGAACGTCCAGCAAAAGCGGTGTTATCTACTAAGCCCAATACAATACGCTTAGGCAGCTCTCCTGTAACCAGATGCCCGCAATGGTAGTCTCGCAAACCTGCAGATATGTCATGAGCTGTGGTTCGAATCCTGCTAATCGGGTATTTCGCCGTCAGACCTCTTTTTAAACCTTTAATGTGACCCTCACGAATCCCTGCAGATATTTCAACCTGGCGTGTATGAAATTCTATTTTCGTTATTTCACCCCTGTAACTTTCCGCATCGTCATGCATCAGCCAAAACGAATCGGCACTTCTCACCAACTCAATTTTCAAGGGAACGCCGTCTAGAAGATATCTGGGCTGTAGAAACAGGTCACAGTGCAGTCTGCCGGTCACTTCAACTTCTCTTGTAGGAGCCACTAGCCCATGACGTCTTTTCATCCCTAGGTTGCATACACCATCCTGCATGTTTATGTCATTCATTTTCCCACCTTCGTCTCTGTACCAGCCTTGGCACTGAAGCACATTTGACATCACATCTGCACTGTATGTTAGGCAGTTTTCTATGTAAGCTCTGTAGGGGTAGGTACCTAATGACGGTGTTATCTCGGTCTGATTTTGACCCAGCATTACACGCACCTCTCTAAACATGGAGTGTAGCACATTGTTCACAGGGCCTACATTGTCTGTAGCGGCTACATCAGTCCCATCACCCTTGACGATTTTGAATACCACTCTCAAATAGCACTGGCTCAAATCTATGTAGTTATTTACAGGATTAACAACATCAAAACGTATCGGTCCACCTCCTGTAATGGTTGTAGTAGGAGTATATCGCACCCACCCGCTATCTCGCATAGAAGTCACAACGGCTGGCACCGAAAACAGGTCCAGTTCTGATTTTGAACACTGCGTATCATCTATTGCGTCGGCACGTATCATCTTTTACCAACCAGTTCTTCTGCGCTTCTTTTTTAATTTCTTACGTTTCTTAGCAGCACTAGGTGGGGAAGACAGAGCATGCAGAGCTTCCCGTTTCACGCCTCGCACTCCGTCTGCCAAAACTTCTACTCCTCTCCTTTTAAAGCTTTCCTTAGGGGAAACATTATTGTGCACAACATCGTCCACAACATTAGTAAGAGCCCTCACACCGCTTCTGAGGAAAGACTTACCTACATTCTTTAACATAGGTAGTGCTATCCTACCAAGCGAACCTAGAATATTCCCTAAACCGCTTCCCCTTTGATAATAATGTCCCACATATGGCGCAATATCCCCGCAACCATACTGGGGCACTACACGACGGCGCTTCATTATCTGCGACGTCTGAAGTGTAAAACCACCACGGCTTTACCAGCCTGAAATGCTATTTTTCGTCCCGCATCGTCCCTTATATGCACTGTGATGCTCTTAACGTGTCCGTATCTCAGGGGCACATAGTGCACGGGGTTAGAATCTTTAACATACACGATATCTTGCAGCATCACAGAGCTTACGGCAACGTGTGTCAGCAGAGGTGCCATAACATTCCCCACTATCTGGTCGTCTATTAAATCCGTGTAAATGTATACGTTGTTAAAAACATTATCTTTTACCAAATGTAAAGGAAGTGTCGCGCGCTCACCATGCGAGTTTAACACGGTTCTACCATTCTTACCGGCCCCAGGCTGAAACCCTAGAAGGCGGCCCAGCGACGGGTGTAATGTAATTTCTCCTTTGAACAGTTTTTCTGTATCTTTATACAGTGCTTTAACTTGAGGCGGCACTGGAGGGAATTTCACATACACAGTGTTGTTTTTTATATTAAAAAATGCCCACTCTTTAGGGTAATAATATATCAATTTCCCATGTGTGTCATGGTTTAATTTCTTTAATTCCCTACCCACGCTTTCTGCAATAGCATTATTACAGGTTTTTACTAAATCAGCACCTGTGTAGTGCCCCTCGGGTATCACAACGTCCATAGCATGCGCAAATGAAGCGTAACGCGGAGTGATTTCGCCGGTCAGACCGTTAGATACCTGGCCACCATATACCGTTATGCGCAAGTAGTTAAGTGGGTAGAACACGTTTTGCCATGTCACAGGTATTTGCACTCTGCTTGCCCCTACCTCCCATTCATCACGATTTAACTTTAGGGCATATGGAAGATCTGTGGTATATTCACTGACGGTGTTATCAGGCCTTGTGTCCAGTGACACGTCGCTCGGTAGTGTCACATAAAAACTGCCCCCAGTGTTGCCCTCCATGTTACACAAGTTTTATATTTTTCTGCGTGTATGATTCCGGAATCCACTGGTTAAAACTTTTTGGATAGCCTTTCCAAGATACGTACAATTCTTTACACCCTGTGGCAGGGTTTACCCTTCTCTTGAAAATACAGCCTATGTCATACGCTGCAGGCTCTGAAACCGTCTGCAGCTCGTCTCTATAAAATGTTCCTTTTAATACATTTCCAGAATAATCTACCAATTTGTAAACTTGGGGCAGCCTACCTCTCACTTTGCAATGTACATAAAATATTTCAGGTGTCCAATTTGCTGTGTACCCTTTTTCAAACTGCTCCTTGTATTTACTTATTCTAACAGGTGTTGACACTTTAAGAGGTGGTTTTGAACACTTTTTATTACTACGGGTGTTTTCCTTCGATTTCATAAAATCCAGCACAGCAATTTCGTCAAAAGGGTTGCCGGCACGCACACATTTTGGTTCACGCCCAATGGTCGAGTGATGTGTTGAGTTATAGCCACGCACAAGGGCCTGCAGAGCAGCCCTGTATTTCTTAGTTCTGTTTCTTGTGAAATACCGCCACATCCTAGATTTTAATGTACGCTGGAATCTCTCTACTACAGCGCATTTAGTATCGGGATTTCGGCTCGTGTAAAAATGTGCCTCTACACCATTTCCCACGAATTCTTTAAACGTTTTGTTATTAAATTCGCCACCGTTGTCGCTCTGCACGTTTTCTGGACGTCTCCCACCTGAAGTGTTTAAGATTCGCTTGAAACCTGACACCACAGCATCGGGCCGTTTCGACTTCAATTCACGAACCCAGGCCATCTTGCTGAAAACATCTATTACGCACAGTAGATACTTATACCCATTATTAACTTTGGAAATATCCTCACTTAAAACTGTCAAATCGGTTTGCCACAGCTGATCTGTCTTGCACACGGTGCTCGAATAAGCAGTTCTTGGAAACGTCCGTTTAACACTCCTGTGCAGCGTGTAAGTTTGCTGCCCTTTTAACCATTTTTTAATAGCTGCTACACCAGGCTTTTTCTGTAATGTTACGGACTTATTTACAGCAGATATCAAAGAACTAGCACCCCCGTAACTTTCGGGATACTTAGGGTCATAGTAGCGTTTTGTCAGCCAGCGGTTCCAATATGCGTTAACCGTCGTATGGCGCCCAGGAGAATTGCTCTTTTTTCTTTGAACCATGTTTCTTTAAAGATAAATTATCAGAGTGATACACCTTCCACCGTTGCCGATTGCCAACCATGCTTTCGCTCAGCCCTCCATCCTTAAGTATCCTCAGAAATAACCCCCATCCTGCCGGAGGCGTTTTGTTATTTGCCCTAGATCGAGCCAAATCACCTATCAAATCGCCAACTTTGTGACCTTCTAACACCTCCCCATCCACTTTCAAATGTCCATATTCATCCCATGACAGCCGAGGATGTTGGATTACCCTGTTCAAAATATTTTGTGCCCTGCTTTGGTAGGTTTTGGGAAGCCTTCTCAAAACGTTTTCTACCACTTCTCTTCTTTCTGCTTTATCACCTGTTTCCGCTGTAGCACCAATGCTACTAGTAGGGGGGGAGTCGGCTGACCCCTTCACGTGCTTTATTATTGGCGCTGCTTCGCTTTTCCTAGCAGCGTTTTGTAGATTCAGACCTCTCTCTAACAGTTCATTGTAAGTACCCATTTTCTCGGAAGAATTACCAACCTTATCGGCTGCAGTGTTGAGACGCTCCAAGTTATCAACCCTTAAACTGTGCAGTAGGTGCCCCCTATGTAACACACCGGTACTTTCTCTGTCTCTACACCCTTTAAGCTTTTCGAATAGCATATGCGGTATGAGCACCATTCTTTTGGCATGTCTTCCACTCTCCATACCTGCACTAATTCTACCCCAAAACCCCTGACAAAAGCTTTATAGCCAGTGGGGCTAGAACCCCAGCAATAGCGCCGAGGAAACCCCCTTTCTGCTGAAGCAAATGTCTTTTGCGCGATGTTGGGAGATGTTTCTTACACAGAAGCTGTAAACTACCTTCGTGTTTTAACAGACTATTTCTCTGCGCTGAGGTCATAGGTAGATTGCCCATGTAAATGTTTCTAGCTACCTCACTAAAGGAATCAAGTACAGCCTTTGGTAACGTTTTTATAACCCTGTTACGTGTGGCTGGGCTAGCTCTACACAGATAATGCAGCACATCAGCATTCTGCTTCACTCTACTGCGCCTTAATAAACTCCTATGCTTACCGCTACACTTCATTTTTTTGCTACAGCCCCGCATACTGTTACCTTACGTGGATCCCCAGGGTGTGGCAGGTGGTAAAATGCCTTGATTTCTTCTCCCACCCCTGTTTAAATACATCCTAGGCTGACGATTTCTTTTCACACTCATTTTGTTTTTACGTACGCCTTCAAATCGTTCAATGAGATCAGCATCATCAGTATCACTAGCAGCAGAATCAGTATCGTCGTCTTCAAGGTCATCGTCGCTACTACATTCACTATCAACAAGTGCTGATACTTCACCAACACGGCTCCGTTCGGCAACTACGGTGACGTCTTCATCAACGTCATCAACTTCATCGCTGGACGATGACACACTGCTGCTACAGCTATCAGTGCCACAGTCACTGTCGCTGCTGCAGCTGAAGTCACACACGTAACTGCTGCTACTGCTGGTGCAGCTGCTAGAAGAGCTATCATCTGGGGAATGCCCTGCATAGTGCAGTCTGTCGTGCGGTGCTCCTGACATTGTTTTGGCTATAACTCTCACTGCTGCCTAGGGGTGACGGCTACATGTATTTATACCTTTTACTGTATCACACCGGTATGTACACATCAATACAGCCGTCCTCATCAAAAATATTGCCACGTACTCTATATTCCTCTGCTGTTTGAGGAGCCAAATCCAGCAAAAGGTAGCTGTGTGGAGCTTTGGTGGCTTGGTAAAAAGCATCCCTGATGAATTTAATGTTTGTAGGATAAACCTGACGGGCTAAACACTCAATCTGGGAGCCGTCTCTGGGATTTTTGAACACTACAATGTGCGTACAGTTCAGGCTAATGCACCTGTGGTATGCTGTGTTAGCAAACAGGTTTTGCTGCAAATATATCACGGATGTATTTCTGTGGTGAGATTTTTTAACAAACCATCGTAGTAATTCACGCTCTTCCTCCTTACACACATCACCCAATAAATCATCAACCACAAGCCACTTTTTCCCTAAATCATCATCTGCAGGAATAAGGGTGTCACTCTCCAATACCGTGCGTACAAAGTGTACCACAATGTTTAGGGTCGAGCATATGCGCTTTATACTCTCATACAACGGTTGCATCTCGCTATACACCCACACTATTGTAGCTGGTTTACCGCCCTCTACCGCAGCAATAGACTCGTCCATAAAGCTCTGCAGCAGACCTGCAACGAATGTGCTTTTACCCGACCCACTTGGCCCGCTTATTAACACACGGAAAGGGTGTTTAAACACCACACACTCTCTCTCAATGGTCGTCATGCTGCTCCGGCTCATGCCTGCCTACGGTGCAAAGCGCCAATTCAAAAGAACTGGTAACGAAACACCAACAACTGTTTTATACTCAATACATCTTTTATTGCACAAGGTTACAGACATACATACATAAAACACAGTCGTGAATGTTGCACATATACATCAGCTTGTACACGCATATCTTAGCTATACATGTAATAAAACAAAGCACAGTACGCATGGTACACATCTGCAGCAGAAATCACACCGTGGCACCGTCTTTCACCACAGCAGGATCCACGCATATAAAGTTTAGAAAGTCAGACATTTCATCGGTGCTCAATAGGGCACCCTGCTGGTGTGGTAGTGTAGGAGCGGGCTGCGGGGTTTGCACACTAACACGCTTTGCCTTCGCCCCTTTAGCGCCTTTGCAAGGTTGAGCTTGCTTCCTCCTCTTATACTGCCTTTTCTCCTTCTTAACAATCTTTTTCTCCTTCTGACCATTAATGTGCGATGTAGAACCACACGTTTCCGTCTGACGGTGCATCGCCTTTAAATTCTCCTGTACAAACAGCGTAAAGCGTGGCCACACAGGTGACTTCTCTGGTTCACACACATCTCTACCATAGTTAAGCAAGTTCACCACACTACTCACGCATTGCGCAGCACCGTGTATGTGCGGCCACTGATCCTTGTTCACGGGTTCGGCGAGAAATGCCTGTATTTCTTGCTCTTGCAATGTGGCACACGCGTCTGTAGCAGCTTTATTTAATACATTCCAATGTGTAGAAATGAATGCCATGTGCTCAATGCCTAAACGAGTGCACAAGCTAGTGCTGCTCACTTTCTGAAGCCCTTTTGCCACACCAGCCTCATCAATGTGGCAAAGCTGCTTCAAAAGCAGCGGGAACTTGGAGTGGAGATCACGAATCTTGTTATCATTAGTCCTTTGTAACAACATAAGTCTCGCTTTTTGGCGGGCTATGGCAGACTCTTCTTCGCCAGCAAGTTGAAACCAGCGGTCCGCATCAACGAAATGGTTAAAGACAGTAAAATCATCATTGGGCGTAAACCAGGCCATAATGCTATATAATCAAACCAATTTGGCAGCAGGCAAGGGTACAGTGGTGCGTGCTAGGTTAGTGTCATGTGTGTATATGCGTGGCGTGTCACACCTTAAATAAAGGGTAGTTTGTTGGGGTCAGCAAGAGGGCTCTCACCACGCCTTTCACCACAGCTTAAAGCCGTAAGGTAATGTGTAGGTCAAGTGGTTAGTGTTTGGGTCGGGCACAATGCGACGCTTAGTGTAGACAAATCTGTAGGCCCTTGATTCACACCTGGAGATTATCCCACACCCGCGTTTGAGGCCCTTTCTATGAATTTTGTGGGGGTAGGGCACAGGTACAGATATGCCATTACGGTCAGGGTGGTTAACAATCTCTATCATTTTTTCTATATTCACTTCTTTATTAGCGCGTACGTTAAGCGTGAAACCTCTTATTTTACAAATAGTGCGTGTGCCTTTTTTATCTGTATGGTGGAGCTTGTAAGCATAATTCTTCGGCCCGCATGTTGTAAATTCGTCAATCCAGTTGCCTTCCTCTATCTCATCTGTCCATTCCCCCAAAGAATCGCCGATGGTTGGGCAGGGCTCACTCTCTTTGTGCACATATATTATGCTATCTGTATCAAAGTACAGGCACCGGTCTCCCAAAGGGTGTATACCACTGTACAGTTTTAATCGGGCCTGAGCTGTCACCCAGCTTGCTATGGCGACATTACTGGCACCATGGGGTGTCACAGACTGGTTTGTGGTAGCATAGGTGATGAGCAGCACATCCTCGTTTATTAAACTGATGTCTTTCACCTCTATGTCAGCATTCCGGAGAATATTGTAGAACTGCGGAAGGTCTGAAACAAACACGTTCGCGTCCATGTTATTGCGCTGAGATAACTTTCCCCACAAATTATTTAGAAGGGACTTGCTGATGGCTCTTTTTCCTGGGTTGGGTGCAATTTGAGAGGCGTCAAGCATGACACCCTCCTTTCTGAATACTTCTTGTACATACTGCTGCTTTTTTTGCTCTGTATCGCAGTGCACAGGGTAGCCTGAAGATTCTTGCTTCATTTTAAAGAAAGCATCTACATACCCTGTAAACAACCCCCCTTGAGCTGTGTGCGGGTCATATTGCTCAAAACTATCAAAATGCCAGGCATCATATATTTTCAATACCCTGTAGCCACACTCTCGAACAGCATGATGTAGTTCCACAGTAGCATATGTTGATGTCCAACTCCGCTGATCATCGTCATGGGGACAGGGGCCAGCACTGTAGCCTGTATCAGCACACGTCCGGCACAGTGGGAAGTACAACTTATCATTTGTGCGGTATGGTAATACCGGGTGGTACAAGTCACCTGGTGGAAGAACCCTGCACTGTATCATGCCATGGATGTCAAACAGCTGCTCTATGGGGGGTGCATACAGTACCGTGGGGTGGCCTGTTGGGAACCGCCCATACTTACATATATACGGGTAGAGAGAACATACATCAACATATTTGATTTTTTCCCCTTCGGTACACTTTCTGTGTAAACACACTCCATTTGTACGACCTCCATAAAATCCATTTCTAGGGTCGAGAGGAGGTGTGAATGAACCTGCATCATCAGCGCCGCCGCTTTGCCGCCCCATGTTTTTGACAAACTCCCCTAACTTTGCATCAGTTTTCTGCATTTTCTTAAAATCGCACTCCCACAGAGCAACAACGTCTCGAACATGCGGATGTTGCCGTATGAGATTCAGCCGATACATTGTCCAGTCATGACGTTCCCTGGGCGTTGTACCTAATGAGAAATTCACGCATTTACTGCCGGAAAAACATTTACGGCAACCGTGAAAATAGCAGCCCAAGAATGAATAAACAACATGATTGTGCATATCATACCCATCAACAGCGAAATTGTGACTCCCGCATTTAAGCTTCAGTTCACCACCCAGTGTGCGAGCGTGGCGCAAACGCATGCTAGGGTTGCTCTATGTCCATCAGCTCATCTTTCACCTGGCTGTCCGCCACTTCTTCCACAACATCCACATTACCCTGCAGAATATTGCGTAAAGTATCCTCACACTGCGTTATGATTTCACCATGTGCAGTTTCTCCTACCTGCATAGGTATGGCTAATAATTCCTGCTCTATAGCGGGATCGTTGACGATATTCAAAAACGCAGCTTGTAGTGACGGTGGGAGAATGGCATTGTCATCATCATCATCATCAGAATCATCAGCAACATCATGGCCATGTTGGGCATACGAGGTTGAAGGCTGTGGCTCCATATTGAGAGCAAGGTATATTTTACTATTGTTTTTTGTTTTTAGAATTATTGCCTGTGTACAATGTAAGTGTACATGGGAAGGTAGCTTTGGCGGCAATGGTGTTTATGGGTAGGTATGCAGAGTGAGTATTTGGGTGGGCGGAGTTGCGGTTTATTTATGCATATTTGGGAGATTTGAGTAGCAATGGGTGTATTGAGTAGGTGTGGCCTGAGGTAGCGCCAGGGTATATAGAACCGGGCTGGCTGGCGATAGTTGCCTGATATATTTGCAAACAGTGTTGCTACGCCTGCCCAACGAACTTTGCACCAGCTAGCTGCCGTACCCCGTGTCAACATGCCTGCTTCGACCACCTTCCAATGTCGCCGCTGCCAAACTGATGACCACCACTATACCAAGTGCCCAAATGCCAGCTGCGACAACAACTGCGCAAACCCCTTCGGACACTGGTTCTGGCGCTGCCCCGAGCCCTGCAGCACCTGTGGGAAAGCAGGACACGCTGCACCAAGGTGCATGAATGATGGCACCACTAAACCTGTGAGCGGTAGCAACATCAAGTGCTACAACTGTAAAGAGATGGGGCACACAGCTGGGGAGTGTACGAAACCGTGCGGAGAGCGAGGGTGTGGTAGCACCGAACACACCTCATACACATGCCCCATGCGCATAGCCCGGCAGAAACGTGGGGACCCACCACCCCATTTAGCGGCTTATGACTGCTACAAATGCGGCAATATGGGGCATTTTGCTGCCGGGTGTGTACTACCGTGTAGGTGGTGTAAGGTAGTGATGCAAGGCCATCAGGCCCGTTATTGCCCAAAGCGGGTAAAGGCTGCAGAAAAGCCCGAGACGTCCCAGAAGGGTGGAAATGAGGCAGCCCCTACAACGCCCCCGAAGGAGGAAGAAGACGCCCCAGCTGTTGCTGCAGCTGACACCGTAACGCCTACGAAGATGCAAGGCACCCCGGCCGTGCCCCCACCCCGCCCCTCCAAAAGAAAACGCCCGTCAGCCCTAGTGACCCTGGTAAAGAAACGCCGGGGTGTCATACGTGATAGTAGCGACAGTGATGATGGCGGGGATTTAATAATAATTGAAGACGACGACGTGGAACCTTCATCTGCCCGCCGGGAGCTGAATTACCGGCGTTTAAACCGGTATTGTGATGAAGACCACCAATCGGCAGAAGATGTAAAACTTTGCCATATTTGTAACTACACCACTGAGTCGGAAGAAGAAGGGTAGCTGGAGTGTTTTGCTGCTACTTAACATAATAAAATTTCTCAGACATATATTGTTTTGTGTACTTATTTAATTGTGGAGTATTTCTTTTTTGTTACTTGCAAAGTGTATTATATACACTACACATGTGTAGGGTGCTACATGCATGCACCCAACCCATATAGGAGCGGTATTGATGAGTACAGCGTGAAATGAGCAAGCAAGCAAGCAAACCTTTGTGATTTTGACGCGGGGTTTTGTATTTTGAAAGCTTGACACCATTTTGCCATGAAGTTTGTGGACATGCTCTTGATGAGGGTAAAATACTAATGATACAGCGGTTACTAAGGCTGAAACAGACCACCCTATTTGTAATGAATTAAATAATAACTCTAAAACGGTTTGTAAGCTACATTATTTAATGCATAAATATAAACATTTAGCAGGGCCGGAAATACGCATTCCTTTTCTGTTGATGGAACATCCCCGAATGCATGTTGCCGGCTCTCCCCGGCAGTGTGTGCCCCTCATCTTCGTATATGGTGGGAAGCTGTGTGGTGTTGTGACGGCTTAATTTGAGGGGTGTGTGATTACACACCATATTTTGTACCGGTAGCTGAAGGCTGAGCAAAAAATCTCCCGTGGTGGTTCTTCGGCTGCAACGAAAAGAAGCCGTGTTTAAACATTGATCATCATATACGTTATTATAAAGCTGCAACGAAAAGAAGCAGTGTTTTAACATTGATCAGCATACACATTATAAAGCACACAAGTGGCGCTCTTGATAATATGCTAAATAATATTACAAGATGCAATAAGGTGTGTTGGCACTTACCGTTCCTTCTTTTCTTCATTCCTGATGTAGATGCGTTCTAGTAATTCAAAATCCACATGCAGCTTCAATATTCCGATGTTGAATTGGTTCAGATGGAAGTAGAGGTGTCTAAAAAGCTCCAAGTTGCTATAAACCTCTACAGCCAGATAGCATAGGATTCTGTGCGCGACTGGGTACATGGCAGTGCGGTTGAGGAAGCAGATTGCTGTAGATTGCATTGTGTGATAGCAGGCTGGGCAGTATTTGGACATAGACCGGTATTGATTTAAATAGGTTGTTTAGATGTGGTTTTATGCAATTTACCTTTTACGCTGTGTGGTTGCATAGAATACGACCCTATAATTTTTCACTGAGTTAAACTTAGTCCTACTGACAAGATGTGAGGGAGGGAAAGGTCGCAGGCAATTACATTACCCGCGTCCACTGTTAAACTGTGGGAGACTGGGAATCATGACCCTGGATGTAAGTACATAATCACCATATGTGTTTGGAGAATGACGCTTACGTGGTAAACCTACTGTTAATAGCTACTAGATCAAAATGCCTCGATGGGTTTTTTGTTAATAAATACCATGTTTATGGATTAGTGGTGGTATACCTGCTGTTAATAGCTACTAGGTCAACATGCATTGGTGGGTTTATGTTAATAAATACCATGTTTATGGCTTAGTGGAGATTAAAAGATAACAAAATCAGCATGTGGCAGTTTGATAAATGGCCTTTTTAATGAGGGTGATGTACGGGGTGGTGGTTACGTAATAGTGGGCGGGGTGGTGGTTACGTAATAGTAGGCTGGAGGTACGGGGTGGTGGTTACGTAACAGTGGGCTAGAGTGGCAACCTAGCTACTTCCCAGATGTGCCACGAAGTTTTCAGGCTATTTCCATAGTGACGTTTGGATAGAGAAAAACCCGTGTTAAAGGGAAGACATATAGTTTCCGAGAGAGGTTATAGATCGAAATGAACAACAACATGCATAAGATCAATTTTACAGGTTGGGAGTTATGCAGAAGAAGCATATGACGTGACTGTAATTTTCTTGACTTTACTACTAAGATAATCGTGTTTACACTTGGAAATATATTTCTTTACCACTGTGTTGTATTTAACTTAGATTTTATGGTAATGTTGCAACCATGTTTCTTATTTTGTTTCCAATGAAACTTTGATGATTGGTAACATTACATAACATTTGTAAAAGACGGGCATACAAAAGAACTACACAAAGGTAAAACTACTGATCCTTTGAATCATATAGTAGCTTCACGCGATGTTATGCTCAGTTGATTTATAAGATTATTTGATGAGAAACAAATGCATTATAACGGGGGTTCTTATTTAAGATGACCCAGAGGGGAGAAATAGAATAAAAACGCATAACTGAACTCAACAGAAAAACACTGGAACATGCATGCTGAAACAGAACAGTGAACTTAAATGTGGCTAGAGGGGTTGGTGGTGGGGAAATTAAAGGAAACATTATTCAGGAGCTCTTAACTGTTTGGAGAATATTTTTAAAAGAGTTCAATTTAACTATAAACCCCCACAGTATAGAATTTCTTGGTCAAACTCCTCTCACGGCAGCATTAGAAATTGGCACTAGTCCTATAGTCCTTGCCAAACTGGTAAAGGTATCATAAGGACTAGTAGAAATTGGCCCTTTTTAAGGGTTTTGTTATATGCTATCATCATAAGGACTAGTGGAGGAAAACTGTTAGTTTCTAACCATGCACGGTATTTACTTTCGAAACAAGAATATTAAACAAGAAAACATTGATGCAGAGCATCAAAGTTCCCCGCCATATGTGATGCCTCACAAACGCATAATTATGATGTTACTGAAAGGCATGATGGAGCATAATTATATTAACCACAAATAACACAACGCTGTTGTGGAAAAAAATATTATTTATTTTGAGTATTGGGCAATACAGTTGATACATTTGCATAGGGTAGGTCTATTCAAAAATAGTTTCTTGTTTAACGCCGCACTCAGCATTATTCCAGCCATATGACGGATGTCTGTAAATAATCCAGTCTGGACCAGATCATCAAGTGATTGACACCAAGAGCATCGAACTACGCAATTGGAATATGATGTTATGCATCGACCAAATCGGCGAGCCTGACTCCCCAATCCTGTTCGTCGCCTCTTACGGCAAGCATAGGTTGCTGAAGACCTATTCTTACCTGGGTCTTTATTTAAAAAGTAGATCGAAGGAAATGGAAGCAATTTCTGGCACAAATGTAAACATGTGGAAATAGTATCAAAACTGCCAACAACATTGGCAGATGCACATACTCAAAAAATAGATCACATTCTTTTTACACTTAGCATTTGGTTATAATAATGTAAATGAAAATACTAAGGGCTCCATAAGGCAAAAAAAGTCATACTAGATAAGGTCTTTTTGTCACAACCACAGATGCACATACTCAAAATATTATCACGTAGTTGGAGAACATTTCAATACCGGGACTAATCAATAACGGAGATTCCTCGTCCCTTGTTTTACGTTTTTTGGTCAGTTTTTTGTGTGTATTTCTTTCAAAGAATAGTAATTGTGATCATGATGAGTTGAGTTACTTATTTTTTTTCTATATACTGTCTTTTATCCAGTGTCAGTAACTGTTGTGGAATGTGGTTTACTTGTAACAATGACTGGTTTGAGTTCATATGATGATGATTGATTGGTTTTTCGTTTAACGCCGCACTCAGCAATATCCCAGCTATATGACGGCGGTCTGTAAATAATCGAGTCTGGACCAGACAATCCAGTGCCTAATATCATGAGCATCGATCCACGCAATTGGGATCGACGCCTCTTACGACAAGCATAGTAGCCTGATATATATATATACTGTTAAGATGTAACATGACAATTCATCCATACTACTAAACAGAAGTAAAACCGCTTGTCCATTCGGATCAATCTGACCAAGACCATTCCGCTGATGACAGTCAAATAATGCATACGAATCGAAATCCTTAAAAATTGCAATGGAGACATCATTAAAAGTTACCAAAAGTGACGGGGATATCAATATTGCTTTTTGAAATGATTCTATGAAATTTGTTTTCCCTGCTTCAATATTTCGAGCACCTGTGACGGAGCCATAAAACTGATCTGTTATGTAGACAATATCGCTTGAGGCAATGGCTGCTGGGGACTGATTATGGCCTAAATACTCCTCATAGCCTTCGGTGTTAACTTTGTGGCTGTAGAGAGCTGTGCCTTCATCCAACAGTATCGAGGTCAGTGGAACACGGTACAGACGCAAATAGATTTGAGCTATGGGACACAAAATATATGAATGACCAGAGCTACGGCTGTACATTGAATTCCATTAAACGGTTGAAAAATACTACAGCCTTGATGCAAATTCGCTGACACACTACTCCGATTTTGCTTTGACTTTGCTACCAAACGTTTCACATGTGGTTATGTGCGGTGCACTGATTAAAAAACACACACGGGGGACTGGGTTAATTCAAAATACGGAATATAACTATTCCAAATATTTCCAGTGAACATGAGCATCCAAACAAATAAAAGTGTGGTATGTAGAATATGGAATTCAGCCATATTACATTTAAATTGAGATGTCGTCGTTGTTCATGAATAAGCATATTCAGAACATATTTTTTATTATGCTGTTATTTACGATCACCGGAGCACAGTTCTTCTTTTGTATACACCGTGAAAATCAGAAAATTAGTCCTTGAGGAAAAAAGGACATCGGATTACACATGTCATGAATGGTTTAATAATGTCAGATAATGACCAGAAACGGTCAGATGCATCAATTAACTACATAAAGACGATTTTGAAGTATCTCTTATTGCTGGAAAAGAATAGCATCAACATTCGACGCACATGATTTGTATGTTTTGTTTCCGTAAATGCGTGGCTTGAAATTTCAAATAAACCAACATGTCGACATACATGCCACAAATTTAACGTTTCCCGTATACTTCCCCGCCTTAAGGGCGGGGAAGAATGAACAGGGTGTTATATACTACCTAAATAATGTAACATATGAATAAGTATAATATATGTGAATAAGTACTATAATAAGACACAAAAAATGTTATCAATGCTTTGGGAAAAGTCTGTGTAAGTCTATGTCTCCTGGCCTGACCCCCGGTTCTATCAGATAAAGGACAGTCTCGCCACAACACAACTGTTGCTGAAAGGGGATATAAACAATAACACAGAGATGAGGGTCAGCACACTGACACTTTTTACTGGCACATGTGCCGATCAGTGGCATGAGCCTTCCCCATATGATGCGGCGCCATTCCTCTACTAGCACTTAGGGTGCATGTAACGTGTCATCAACCTATAGCGCTTGTAGTGCGTTTACAACCGAAAACTCTGGACATCATACGTATTGTTAGTATGGTTAAACGTTTTGATACATTCCGAATGCGTAACACGAATAGGGGGCTGATGGGAATTAGATCATGGCAACCCGCGTGTACGTACGTCTGGAAGGAATAAAGGTGTCCACATTAACAGACGACGTGAGATGATTTGTCCTTTCCTGGTGGTCAGGAAACTGATTTGGTTGCCACAGGTAACAGCTACATTACTTTTATACCCTAATTGTCCAAATAACATCGTGTTGCACGTGCATCAAACTTTCAGGGTTAAGGTCATTTTGCACGAGATCACGTGACCAGATTGTGGCTTTCAGATCGAAGCATTCGTTTCCGTGATTAGTTACAACATTTTGATTCGAATTAAGACAAACTTCGTAAAGTTTTATTTCCTGGATTGTAGACCCGTAAAGATCCGGGGTTGAATAGGTCTTCAGCATCCCATGTTTGCTGTAAAAGGCGACTATGGGATCGGGTGGTCAGGCTCGCTGACTTGGTTGATGCATGTCATCGATCCCAATGGCGTGGATCTATTTTCATGATGTCAGTCACAAGATTGTCTGTTCAGACTCGATTATTTACAGACCGCCGTCATATAGTTGGAATAATTTAATGCTGAAGGTGGCATTAAACAACAAACAAACAACCACATCTTGTTCACCAAGGATATATGTGCAAATCTGAAAGTTAATTAATTAATTCCTTGAAATCGTGGGTTTTTAACACGATGGTAGCCCTTATTTGTTTGCTGAAGGTGGCATTAAACAACAAACAAACAAACACATCTTGTTCACCAAGGATATATGTGCATAATCCTGAAAGTTAATTAATTAATTCCTTGAAATCGTGGGTTTTTAACACGATGGTAGCCCTTATTTGTAAGTTTAAGGTCTAGTTATTATGTATTATATCTAAAATATATTCACGCCTGCAACAAATATGGGTCATGCGATTTCTATTCAATCAAAGACTCCTGCTCAATTCTAACGTGTTTCTGTCTCAACCTTTCCGTTAGCTTTGCTTCTCGCTGTGTACTGATGTACTGTAAACGCGTCAGCGCATTTCAAACGCAATACCAACGTTACTGTTGATTTCACCTCAGCACGTGTCGCTTGACAGGTAACACAAAGCTCATCACAGCGATAGCCCTTTTGTGGGTCCCTCTATAATATGATATCTGGAGCGTAAAGAATGTGTCAAGCGCTGGGAAGGAGCTTGCATGTATCTGTTGCATATTGCTGCATGGAGCTATGACATTCGTCACCACTCGCCCCTTTCCGTGACCTGAAAGAAGACTCGTCCCCCTATCGATGTGCGAAAATACGACAAACCAATCAGAATGCGCGTACGATTTCGAGTTCTTTGTCAAATAATCCCTCAGAAATAATTTTTGATTTTACACATGTTTTGCATCTAAAATTATACCCAAGATACATTTAAATTTGTTCAATCATACTGTATAATTCCGCACGTCCCGATGTGCTTAAAATTGCATCTGAAATATATGTACCATATGGGGAAATATATGTGAACCCTTACGCAACGAGTTGACAATTGTTTTAGGTATGCCCGTTTGCGCTAAGACGGATCCCGGTCGCAAAAATGGCCACGAGTCGCTATTCGGCTTGTCCCGGAATAACACGAGTTGGTCACGAATGGGAGCTATGAATGACGCCCAATGAAAAAGCCGAACGTTTCCGGAGAAAAGGGTATTCCCCTATGTGAATAGCGTGGATGAACGAGGAAGGAGACGTGGGAAGCAATCGTCATGAAGTTATACGAATTATTTTGTAGTTAAACTGTCAGTGCTAGGCGCTGGTGAGTATGACGTCAGTTTGCTTCGTTACTGTTGATCCTTCAAGGGGATATTCTTCTATATCCCCCACCTCCTACGCATGCTTAAGCATGTAATCAAACCAGTTGGCAGGGCTAGTTTCACTTTCAGTTTGGAGACAGGTGCGATTACTTACCTTTGTCTAACTTAATGACCATATGATGGTCTCTGACAACATACACATTCGAACTGAATAACTACAACAATAACTACACAAATTAACGTTACAAAGTTTACACAACAGCCGGGTACAACAAAATCTTCACATTTTTCAGCTAGATATTTTTGGATTATTACATGGTCTACAAGCAGAAAATCTGGTCCCAGTTGAATAATCTGTCTGGCTTGGATTTCAACAATTTATTAAACAGTTATGTTAGAGTTCGTCTTACACCATCGTTCAATTGATATAGTCATGGTGATTTTATGACTACTTCTTCCTCTTTTTATGATTTTTCCGATTTCACCCAGGGTCCTTTCTTACGTTTTTAATAGAGACTGTTCTTTTCAGTTCCAAATTTTCTTTTGTTTCCTGAAAGACAGCTTCTTCAAATAATTTCATGACCTCCTAAAGCATCAAAGTTGGTATTGGTAGCTCCACAAGCCCTCAAGGTTGCATATGTCTTCTGTTTTAGACACTCTAGTGCTTTGTGATGTGTTTAATGTAGGATAGCCATGTAAATAATCTGACAAGTCATAACCATAATGATCGAAAGAGTCACATAAACCAATAAACTCATAATTGGCACATCATTGGTTAAGATCTGAAACTAATGAACTTAATGAAATCCATGGATTATGGATTTCTTTAATATTCATAAATTATATTTTGCAATGAAACAAGCCTGACCAATACATTACATATTACATGACACGTCCTCAGTGTCAGAGTTTGATGATCGGGTGGGAGTTGTCTCCCCTTAAGTTTTCAAAATGTTAATGGAAATGTCAAATAGGAATTTTCACACATGGAGTACATGTATTTGTTCCGACCGGAATTGCAAGTATTTGTGCCAAAATTCATGTATCCTTTCTCTCTGTGATGTGCAGATCATAGTGAATGTGAGAGACACATGTACATACGTCGCTTGTTGTTACTCATTATCCGGTACCTCATACAACCACAGCTCTCATTCTGATTACTGTAGTAATTCCCTTTAGCCCCCATTTGTTGTCTGCTTGTGTCACAAGAACATTTTTTATCTAGAGATTGTTCTGGTTTGTGGACCCGAATACTGCATAGAATAGATATCCTATTACAAATGTTCCATACACTCCCATCAAATAATAGCTAATTCCTCTTCATAATTCAGAGTCTCACATTAGGGATGGATGGGAAAGGCAAGAGGAGTGACAATGACAAACGACCTGAAACAGAGCAAGCTAGATCGGATAGCCTGCCAGAAGCCACCAGGACGTCAAATGTTACTTCAGGTGTGTATACGTACCATTATAGAGCATGCATTATCGTATGAATGCGCAGCTCCACAGTTGCAGGACCCTTGTTAAACCAGAGTTGATTCTCAATATACTTGCTACCTTTTCACATTCTTATAATTTATAATATAATAAAGGCAAAGTGCTTAATTACCAACGACCATGCCTTTCACTTGTTCGTGTTGCTCCGGTAATGTCCATGGTTCAGATTTCCCTTTATCCTGTTTCCTGTAAGAACTATAAACGCTCAGTTCATGCACAGTCCACAGTTAAACTCCAAATCACATAGAGAAGAGTGAACAATAATTTTCATCAGCAACATTTGATTATTCAGAACTTGTGACACGGCCCCAACTTTTATTGTGTGGGAAAACTGTTTAAATACGAAATTTGTCACAAACTATAAACGTTTTTACTCCAAAGGTGAACACTCTGTTGAAATGGACACTGCAGAAATCCGTGAGACGGGCGATCTGTCGGCGGGGACCGTATCCAAAGGAAGTCAGAGGGAGCATGCCAGCGACTCAACAGAGAGTTCTAGTTCAGAATCAGAGTTGGAGAGGGAAAAGGAACGTCTCCTCGCTGAAGAGAAGCGCCTGACTAGATCCCGCAGAAAACAACAACTCCGGGCTGAAATCAATGAGCTACAAGCTTCAGTAGAGGATAAAAAGGTCAAGAAACAGGCAAGTGTGAAACCCAGGTTCCTGACGGAAATAGTTTCAACTAAAGAGGTTAACCCAGACGGTCTAAATAATAGTGAACATAGGTAGCATACACACACACACACACACACACACACACACACACACACACACACACACACACACACACACACACACCAGCACACACACACACCAGCACACATGCATGCACCCCCCCCCCCCCCCCTCCCCACACACACAGAGAGAAATACACACACCCCAACACACATGCATGCACCCCACCACACAAAGAAACACACACACACACCAGTACACACGCATGCACACACACATACACTATTTATTAAACACTTGTGTTAGAGTTTGAGTTACACTACTGCTCAATTGATAGAGTCATGGTGATTGTATGACTGCTTCTTCCTCTTTTTATGATTTTCCAATTTCACCTAGGGTCCTATCTTGCCTTTTTAATAGAGACCGTTCTTTTCAGGTCCAAATACTCTTTTGTTTTCGGAAAGACAGCTTCTTCAAATAGTTTCATGACCTCCTATAGGCATGATAAGTATCAAAGTTAGTAGTGATAGTTCTACAAGCCCTCAAGGCCGCATATGTCTTCTCTTTAAGACACTCTAGTCCTTAAGGACGTATTAAATGTTGGGTAGCCATGTAAATAATCTGACAAGTCATTATCATAATGATCGAAAGAGTCACAGAAACCAATAAACTCATAATTGGTACATCATTGGATAAGATCTTAATCTAATGAACTAATGAAATCTATGGTGTTTAGATTCCTATAATATTCCAAAATAATATTTTGCTATGAAACACGCCCAGACAAAAACATAACATATTTGTGCCTGTGTTTACATCAGCGTTTGATGATCGCATGGGAGTTGTCTCCCCTTAAGTTTTCAAAATGTTAACGTAAATATCAAATAGGAATTTTCACACATGGAGTATTTGTTCCGACCGGAATTGCAAGTATTTGTGCCAAAATTTATGTATCCTTTCTCTCTCTGATGTGCAGATCATAGTGAATGTGAGAGACACATATGTCGCTTGTTGTTACTCATTACTCGGTACCCCATACAACCACAACTCTTATTCTGGTTACTGTACTTTAGCCCCCATTTGTTGTCTGCTTGTGTCACAAGAACATATTTTATCTAGAGATTGTTCTGGTTTGTGGACCCGAATACTGCAGTCCTCCCGTAGGTCTTCGTGGAACAGTCAGCAGATTGTGAATGTGCAAACGATTCATGTTTCCGGGTCAAACAGTTTGTGAAGGAAAGAAAATACATCTGTGAAAATATTCCAGTGTTAGTAAGATAATGATAAAGGAAATAATATCCTTGGCAAAAGTTTCCTCTTGGGGGGAATAGATATCCTATTACAAATGTTCCATACACTCCCATCAAATAATAGCTAATTCCTCTTCATAATTCAGAGTTTCACAATAGTTATGGATGGGAAATGCAAAAGGAGTGACAATGACAAACGACCTGAAACAGAGCAAGCTAGACCAGATAGCCTGCCAGAAACCACCAGGGCATCGATATCAAATGGTACGTACCATTATAGATCATGCATTATCGTATGAATGCGCAGCTCCACAGTTGCAGGACTCTTGCAGCTGATTACATTGGTGCACATCTAAAAATGCCTTATCGTGCAGCTGGCTACATAAGTGTATACATAATAATGCCCTGTCTTGTAGCTGGCTACATAAGTGTACATTTGATAATGCCTTATCTACAAGCTACAAGATCTATACTTATGTACACTTATGTAGCCAGATGGAAGATAAGGCATTATTATATAAACACTTATGTACCCAGATGAAATACAGGATTTAATTATTTACTTGTGTAGCCAGTACAAGACCTGAAATTATTATATGTACACTTATGTAGTCAGCTACAAGACACAGCATTTTTGATGCCACATAAGTGTACATACGAGAATAATGCCTTATCGTGCAGCTGGTTACATAAGTGTACATATAATAATGCTGTGTCTTGTAGCTGGCTACATAAGTGTACATATAATAATGCCATGTCTTGTAGCTGGCTACATAAGTGTACATATAATAATGCTGCGTCTTGTAGCTGGTTACATAAGTGTACATGTAATAATGCTGTGTCTTGTAGCTGGCTACATAAGTGTACATATAATAATGCCATGTCTTGTAGCTGGCTACATAAGTGTACATATAATAATGCTGTGTCTTGTAGCTGGTTACATAAGTGTACATGTAATAATGCTGTGTCTTGTAGCTGGCTACATAAGTGTACATGTAATAATGCTGTGTCTTGTAGCTGGTTACATAAGTGTACATGTAATAATGCTGTGTCTAGTAGCTGGCTACATAAGTGTACACATAATAATACTGTGTCTTGTAGCTGGCTACATAAGTGTACATATAATAATGCTGTGTCTTGTAGCTGGCTACATAAGTGTACATATAATAATGCTGTAGCTTGTAGCTGGCTACATAAGTGTACATATAATAATGCTGTGTCTTGTAGCTGGCTACATAAGTGTACATATAATAAAGCCATGTGTTGTAGCTGGTTACATAAGTGTACATATAATAATGCTGTCTCTTGTATCTGGCTACAAAAGTGTACACATAATAATGCTGTATATTGTAGCTGGCTACATAAGTGTACATATAATAATGCTGTATTATGTAGCTGGCTACATAAGTGTACACATAATATTGCTGTGTATTGTAGCTGGCTACATAAGTGTACATATAATAATGCTGTGTCTAGTAGCTGGCTACATAAGTGTACATATAATATTGCCGTGTCTTGTAGCTGGCTACATAAGTGTACATATAATAATGCTGTGTCTTGTAGCTGGCTACATAAGTGTACATATAATAATGCCGTGTCTTGTAGCTGGCTACATAAGTGTACATATAATAATGCTGTGTCTTGTAGCTGGCTACATAAGTGTACATATAATAATGCTGTATCTTGTAGCTAGCTACATAAGTGTACATATAATATTGCTGTATATTGTAGCTGGCTACATAAGTGTACATATGAAAATGCTCTTAATTGTAGCTGGTTACATAAGTGCAAACATTCTAATCATTTCATAATTTCACAGAAAATAAAATCCCAATATCAATAAACCTCAAAACATATTGAGCTATCTCTTTGATTCCACTACTCCCTCAATAAATCTCCTTCCTTGGTTTCAGTTACTGGTATGAGTGGCGGAAATGCAGAGAACTGTACCATTTGTGGTCAGAGCATACATGTATATAGTAAGTAAAATTATGTAAATTGAACGATGAGGATGCCATGTTTTGCAACTTCGTAAGGTACAGAAAATCGACTCGGGCATAAAAATTTGAGGGCGATAGTGTGCTAAGCTAGCCATTTATACTTATCCTTTGCTCGCAAACACAACCATTTGCAACTTGAAACATCCTACCCAAAATGCAGCCGAGTCTTCATTCTTGTGTGTTCAAACCATGTGCTTTTGCTCCCCATTACACTTCATCACCAAATAGAGGAAAGATAAGCCTGCAGTTTGCCAACTATGTGGTTTTTTTTACATTTTATCAACCTGTATTTTGCAGTAGATCAATATTCTACCTTGGCCAAAGTGAGTTATATGCCACATTTCACTTCTACTATGACTGTCAACCTGTCCGACCTTAGTTGTATTAGTTGAGAAAGTTGTTCTACCTCATATTTCGCCTCCATGGATCCTAGACTGAAAAGACAGAGCTGGCACGTATGCTTTATGCTTTCTCCCTCTTTTGGACTTGACAACAGTCGACTTTTACCTCAACTCCTTGACCCAGAGGCCGTTCCCGTTCCATTCGCCACACCCTCCTCCATGGACCCATTGACATTGTCTGCTGTCATACCCTGCATGTCCACCTCTATGGGATGCCAATCTGCCTCGACGTCGTCACCTAGTTCAACCACCCCATATCGGGCGAGTGCCTTCCCGTCCTCTGGTGTATTTGCTGTCTCCCTCTTCGGCAACACTGCCGTGATATTGCTGGAATATTGCAGTGTAAAACCATACTCCTTCACTCCTTCACTCACTCCTTCACTCACTCCTTCACTCACTCCTTCACTCACTCACTCACTCACTCACTCACTCCTTCACTCACTCACTCCTTCACTCCTTCACTCACTCCTTCACTCACTCACTCCTCCACTCACTCACTCACTCACTCACTCACTCCTTCATTCACTCACTCACTCACTCACCAACTCACTCAGGCTCACTGTTCCTCTCCTCCTGTAACACAGACAACCTGCTGTCATTGCACACCCTCTCCCATTGAGATCCTTTGCCTCAGACTATGATAAGGATCATAGGTTGCTGTTGTTGGATGGTGTCCCAGCTCTCACTGGATTCACCTCAGAAGTTCGATGTTTGAAATGCTGGGTGATGACCTAACCACTTTAATGCTTCAACCGGCATCAACCGGCTTCAACCGGTCCACTGCATCTTCCAGGATTAGTCCTTTGCTGGACTAAGGAAAAAGACTCCCAGAGAGTGCCCACCTTCCGATGTCATGTTCTCCCTGTCCACTGACTGCGGTCTTTGGCTCCACCAGTTGATGATGATGCTCAAAGTTGGGTAATCAATCCTCCTCCTTCCCTGTGGAAGACAGGGATCTGTTTTCCATTGACCCTCATCCGCCATTCACTCTTGCTTCTCTCCCTCGCCATGTTGGCAAATCAGGCGTTACTTGCTGCTCTCGACCACCCCACGATGTTGCATGAGGCACAGCTTTTCTCTGAGATGTATTTTCAGCAACAACACTTTGCTAACGCTGTTTCTTCTTGGCCCATGCTACAGGTATGTGTACCTTAATTCGCTGTTGGGGATATATTGCTCAGTCCTCTTGGGATTCTGAACATACTAGGCAACTCATGGTTAATCATTCAATCAGGTCATCCGGGGTGTTCTAAAGGAAGTCGGTGATACAGCACAGAGGTAATTCATTGTTCAGCTGTTCAACTAACTGGAGGCTAAATCTTCTTTCCACTCCTCAGGTCGAGGTCGCCTCACTTTCAGTGCCTACGGAGCCTCTTCGAGCTAAGAATTATCAATGTCCAACTTTGAACAGTCCTGTGGTAGAGGACAGAACCAGGGACAGCAGGCCAAAAGTGCCACCCCAATGTACTTTCTCTCTTGTGCTGCACAACTGGGACCTTGCTCCTGCTATCGTCCAGCTGTTTTGGCTAAACTTGACCATCCTGGGCGACTGTTTGTCACGTCTTTCCCGAAGGAGGGGTGTTTGCTGCCAACAACAGAACCGCCCCTCGGCATCCATTATTCTCATGCCAGTCTGCCAATTCTCAGAGACGCCATACAGACACAGGTCGAGAAGAATGCTGTTCAAGTCTTGGACCCAGCCTCCATCATCCACAACATCTACTCAGATATTCAGTGCCAAAGAAGAGTCCACAAGTAAGCATGATATACAATATGCAGATCTTCACCACCCCGTACCTGGAACGTCCTCCTCACTTCTGCAATGTCTTTCTCTGCGGACTCCGCACCATATAAAGAATTTTATGGGGAGTGGAGATCTTCAAAATGCCTTTCTGCATGTCCAAATAAATTCATTACACTGCAGTTACCTCTGGTTTACTTCCAGAGACATTTCCAGTGGTTGTTCCTGTCATTTGTAATTTTCATGGACGGGTTTCTTTTAATCTGAATCATGAAGCCTAACATCGCCTTCCTCCACCTGAGGGGAATAAGATTCGAACTGTAACTGGACGATTTTATACAGAGCGACCTCCCAGTACCAACAATCGGCACAAGACGTGTGCACTCGCCTCTACATTGACTCTGCATCATAATTGCTATCATGGCGGGATGCTTCTGGCATCGAAGACGTTGCTGGTCTTCAACAGTTTGGACCCCAGGTACTGCCACTGCAAGTGAACGTCTAGTCAACAAAGATGAAAATTTCCTCCTGAACGTTCTACCCGTACACAGCAATGTCTACATTAAAGTCTTGATTGTCAGTCATGCTGTCCACGCCGTGATATAACTGGAATAATGTTTAAAGCGGCGCTAAACCCAGCACACTCACTCAGTCATGCTGTCCTATTGATGTACATGGATATTCTGATTTGAGGATTATTGTAGTCATTGGCACAATAACACAGTTATATGATATAAGACTATTTCGTCGTAGTCGAGGCTGGGTACACATTGAGGTTACATTGACGTAAATCAACTTTTATGTCTCACTTGAGAGGTTTATGTTACCGCTATCAGATGTTCTTGGACAAATCGACCCCCCTCAATCCTGACTGTCGCTTAAAGTTTGCAATGTGTGAGACAGGATAAGTAATTTTGTAAAACTTTAATTAAATTTAGTATCTAATACTTATCCTGTCTCACTGGATATATTTCCCGCCAGTCCAACCCTTCTCAGGATCGATTCATCCGACTGGACTTCAGCTTCAGAAGACAAGAATGAAGGCTTGGGCCTCATGTGTCACGGTCAGAAAAAGAGACAAATGCGATGTATGAGACAGGATAATTATTAAATATTAATGTAAAATAAACAATTTTCAGGTATAAAGCACTTTGTAATAGCATTATGAAGGAACAATTTAAGAATTGATTTATTATTTTTATTGTCACTATTTTTAGCTCACCGGGTCCGAAGGACCAAGGTGAGCTTATGTGATACTGTGGCGTTCGTCGTCCGTTCGTCGTCCGTCCGTCGTCCGTCTGTCCATTGTCCTTCCGTCATCCGTCGTCCATACGTCAACAACTTATTCAACCGACTTCTTCTAAAACACAAACTGGAAATTAACAGAATTTGACTGGAAGCATCCCTAGGTGGTGGTGATTCAAAATTGTACAAATGGAGGGGCTAACCCCCAAGGGGCTGTGGGGCAGGACCAAATAGGGGTAATTTGGCTATATTGCTTTAAACGACTTCTTCTCTGGAACTAAGAGATAGATATCAACCATATTTGGTTGGAAGCATCCCTAGGTGGTGGGGATTCAAAATTGTACAAATGGAGGGTCTGACCCCCCAATTGGTTGAGGGGTAGGGCCAAATAAGGTAATTTGGTTATATTGCTTTTAGCCACTTCTTCTCTGGAACTAAGAGATAGATATCAACCATATTTGTTTGGAAGCATTCTCTGGTGGTGATGATTCAAAATTGTACAAATGGAGGGGCTTATCGAGTCTGGACCAGACAATCCAGTGATTGATATCAAGAGCATCGATCCACTCAATTTGGATCAATGACAAGCATCATCCAAGTCAGCGAGCCTGACTACCAGATCCCGTTAGTCGCCCCTTACGACAAGCATGGTCGCCTCTTATGGCAAGCATGGGTTGCTGAAGACCTATTCTACCCCGGATCTTCACAGGTCTATAACCGTATGTACAATTGAGAGTATAATGAGAGGAATGCACATATGCTGGCCCTTCTGTTCATCTGTCCGGCACTCCCAAAGGAGTTAGAACCTTGACCATAACATACAAACCAATATTATCCCCACCCTATAATAAATAGATACATTGTATACATTTGTTTGTTATGAAGAGACTAATACCTTTGGTATGATTTATCCTAACATGGAAACGGTTCAGATCTTTATGTAACATTTGTATGTAGAGAAATACATGTTCATGCTGTCAGATTTGCCATCCACACATTTTAAATGCTGACAGATTCAAAATTACGAAATATTTGCAGTATTATATACATGTACAATGAAAATGTATATTATGTCATGATTGCGTATACAAAAAACTACTGTTATATCGAACTCAAAGGGACCACTAATTTTAGTTCGTTATAACCGTTGTTCGTTATAAGGATATATGCAACATATACAGCAAATGTATACAGCAAATGGCCGGAACCAAAAAGACCAGTTTGTTGTATTCCTCAGTTTGTTATCAGCATGTTCCTTATAAACGTAGTTTACTGTATATCCAGGTGAGCTATCATGGTGTAACATTTATTCTAAGTTATCCTATAATAATTAGATCCACATCAAGTGCTTTTATGAGTTACCATGGTGTAATATTTATCCATCATTTCATATAATAGTTTAGCAAGTAATACTTATCATCAGGTAAAATGCATATATAAAATATCAGTTGTTTCAGTTATAGCTTTTTAGACAGATGCTAGCCTGAGGTAATGGGAGTGCATCTCCTAGACATACTATTCAATAAAACAAGAGCTACGTCTACATAGTTTAATTGATTTGAAGCTTTTAGATAAATGCTAGCCTAAGGTAT